CTTGTCAGATAAGAGTCTAGCAGTTATGTACTGCTTATTTGTAACTGGCTCCTTTTAACATATGGAGTTGCCCTTATACCAAGTGGATCTACTTGGTGATATATTAATAAAGGACTGAGATGGACTGAACAAGAAAAGTACAACCTTTTGGGGTAGAAGCTACTGCAAGTAGCAGTTTTTTCTTTGCTACCACTTTCTGAAGCCCACAATCAAGGAGATCAGATGAAATAAAAAGCATAGTATTACCTTTCCAGAAGACAGACTATGTTGTCTTGCTTCCACCTCTCTTTCACAAAAATATCATAAAGGAAAATGAGAGGTATGTGCAGGAAGCTGGCCGTAAAACCATCTGCGAAAGTCCTCTGTCCCATAAGGAAATAACTGGACTTGATTACCGGTTATTTATTACAGGACTTTGACCCTGCTCATCAGGTGAGGTCTGATGCTATAGAGCTTGATGAGTGCCCCTGCAATGCTAAGCTCTTTGTTGCCCTTTGTTCACTAATTTCTAAAAGGTATTTGAAAAATACTCTAGCCTTGGTTCTTTGGAGGAGATGAAAGATACATAAAATAAAATTTTTGTTGTTATGTGATTTCAGATTTGCTTCAACATATGGCAACCTTATTGTATCGTTTTCTTGGCAAGATTGATTCAGAGGTTTACCCTTGGTTTCCTCTAAGGCTGAGAGTGTGATTTGCTCAAGGTAACCCAGGGGGTTTCCATAGCTGATAGGGACTGAACCCTAACTCAAACCATTACACCGTGCTGACTCCCTCAAAGTCATAAAAGATATAGATCGAAGTTGACTTCATGGTAGTTAACAACAAAATAATTGTTTTATCATTCTTGGCCCATTATTCTTTTACATGTTTTATTGTAATTTTGTGCAGTTTATTGTTATTGTTTTTATTTTGCACTTTTGTTGCTGTATTACATAATATGGTCAAATAATTTTTTGTTAATAGGCAGACAAAATATAACAAACAATCAAATAGATCTTCTGCTCAGGATTATAATTTCTCCCTGCCCATCGGAATTATTTCCATTGAACTTTTCCCCAAAATGTATGTCCTTGTACCAACAGAACTGTGGTTCTTCCACCACCTACCCTTTCTCTTTCGTAAACATTGGTTCATTTATTTTTTCAGTCATCAAATACCACCACCAGCACCCAACTTTCACTGACTAAACAAAATAGGATTGTAAGAGAAAAGGTACCATTTTGAATGGAACATGGCAAGGTAAAAAAGGTCAAGACTTGTTTTGCTGTGGTGGATCAGCAAATATATCTGGGTCTGCAGTGTGGTGGACATACACTGATGGTGCAACTGGGGAGAGAAAAGAGGTTGCACTATCTGGTAGCATACACATTATTATCGCACCTGATGGCTTTGAGAAAGGGCAAGACAACTATGAGTGTTTGAGGGAAATGCCAATAATTTTTGATGAAATATGGTTGGTTGGATACTAATATTAGGGCTTCAATTATGAACACATTCATTTATTAAAATATGCATTGATAAATTATTGATCAGTTGATCAACTGACTACATACTTCTCCTAATTCAACAGTTTAAAACATGGAAAATTATTTTTAATATATGTACTTACAAAGCCATGGATGCCTTCCCGGAACAGGCATTCCTCCTTCTCTATCACATAGGAAGGACTGCCTCTTCTGAGATATCCCTGTTGGGAAGCATGCATCACCTGAAAACCAAAAAGCAGGCCCGGCATCAGCACCAGGCATTCTTGAACAGCACTTAGGGTCCCAGGACTCTGGCAGAGCCTATTGGTAAGCGTTGACCCTTGAGCCTCACAAAACATTTATTTTCTCGCGCTTGTCCACCATTTTAATTCTTCACTATGTCCCGAACATAGCATTGCTCATTCCAACATTGCAGGAATGCAAAATGCTTACTAGCGATCACCTGGGAGCCACCCAATAGTGATTGGAGTCCTACTGTTATTATCACTAAACAATCTATCAAGAAGGCTCTTGATGTAGGAAGGAGTCACCAGTGGGCATTTTCCTGAGTAACTTCTAAATATTGACCTAGATTTCTTTTTCTTCAGAATTATTGTTCATTTAAAAATGTGTCCAGTTTTAGCTGTTCTATTAAAACTAATACTGTTGGCCCTCCATTTTTGCAGGGGATCCATTCCGGACCCACCCACCCCCGCAAAAACAGACATTAGCAAATATTCAAGCCCCATAGGCTTGAATGGGGCATGCCCCTGCAGGGCTGCGCCCTGTTGATTTAAACGGAGGTTGTCCCTCCGTGAATATGCAAATCCACGGACTTCAAGTCTGTGAGAGCAGAGGGGCGACTGTACAATTAATCAACTACTTTTTAAAATCAAGTGATAGTCCTATTTAAAATCAATTCAGAATGCCAGAGCATAACTTTTAGTATGCATTTCTTTGTACATTAAAGTTGTGTTAAGTTGTATACAACAACAGACAACTTGTGTGTTGTGTATATGTATGTGGATTTTGATTAATTCATTGATTAAAAGACAAATTTGCTTATAAAAAAATATGTCATGGAGCAACAAGTTGGAATGGAGACACGCTAGTGCAGTTCCCTTAACTACTTTCTTAACACAAAGACTAGGTATAATTATTGGAGATCAGATGAAAGAGAGAGCATTTATATAAATATCAATTAATAATGAGGAACAAATTAGTAATGCACATGTTGAACTGTGTGATGCTGAGTGGCATTAATCCTGCTTCTCTGGAATTTATTTGTTATGAATATACTCAGACAAAGTTCCCATCAGCTTCTTAATTAATAGTCTGCCATCTGTGATAAAAGAGCTTAAATGGCATATGAGCTTATGCTGTTTTCTTCAAGAAAATTCACAACAGCATTGTTACTTATATGTTACACAGGATGAATAACAGTTTACATCAACTGTAGTTCTGTATCTCAGCATTCATGCAGTCCTGAATAGAAAATCCAACATAACTAAATGCTAAGTTTACATTATGTACCTTTCGCATTCTGCAACTTCCCTTTTAATCACCTCTTTACCTAAGCTGATTTGTATTGCTAAGTCAGCGAATACTATGGTTAAACTTAAAAAGCCTATGATGTGGGACAAGAATGAGAGGCATACATACCAATTAAAGATCGCATATAGTTCCCCGGTTTTCTTGAGCATCTTGTCGTTCAGTTATGCTGGCATGAAAATAAAAGCACAATAGTTCTTGGATGCATGGCACACACCTAAACAGGCTACCAAGGTGGGACTTCCTACTCCGGGTGTTATGAGGTAGGTCATTCTTCCCTGCTGTTCAATCTCATTAGGTCCTAAGCGACATCCATCCTTCTGTTTGGGATCCTGCCAATAAAACATCTTAAAAGCACATACTGCATGCTATTTTGTGCCAATCCAAACAGAGTCACAACCACAACAATCAAGATATATTCAGATGCAATACTACATTCATCACATTGTGTTCTGGAATAAAAAAATGTCATTATTAGAATTATTAATCTTATAAATGATCAGTTTACTATAACCTCATTAAATATATGCCACCACATAACACATTAGAAATCAGAATTCTGCAACTGTGGTATTTGTGTTCTTATAAGCACAGGTATGCTCATGATTTTGTTTTGTAAATATTTAAACTTCTTTAAATATTTTATCTTGGTTGGTTATCCACTTGCTGGCACAAAACTGAATGGTTGCACTTCTAAGAAGGGTAAGCATTAGTGCCTTGTACCAGCCCTGCTGACAGTGTCTGAACACATATATGTCTAAAAAACTGCCACAAACAGGTCTGTGGCCTCACTTCAATGGAGACAT